TTTATTCATTATAATGGAACTGGTGCAAGTGTTGATCCTGTTTTGCGCCGCATTATTGTTGGGATGCGAGGCCCAAGTGGCCTTTGAAATCAGGCCATACCCCAGTGGTGAGTACTGTATAGCGGTGCCTTTTCTTGTGTGCGTGCATGGCATTATTGGACAAAATTAGATGCATTTACAGTATGTTACAAGTCTCCTTTTTCTCTTGATCTCTGCTTACTTCATATGCACAGCCATCAGCCATCCTTCTCAGTTTATTTATTTATAAATAATGAGGAAATTCAGATCCTCTCATTCAATGAAATATCTAGTCACCAAAACTAAACTAATTGTAAAAAATATGATGTTTTTATGGTACGAGTGTTCATTGATTGATTGATGGATAAAGGCATTTCCGTCAGTCATGAGTCTTTTTCGACGGATAAATATGATTTTTACGGAAGGCCTTTTCATTATCTTCCCGCTTGCGAGGTCAATGCTCACAATTGTTCTGAACAAGATTGAAAATGAATAAATGTAAAAGAAAATTTCATGATGAAACACCTGCTCGTTTTTATAAATCTGCAAATAGAAAAAGTTTCACAAACTTACTCAAATGAATTTAAAATCGCACCGTGTCAGTGGCATCAAGCACTACATGTCTTTGAAAATTTCCTGATTATCATGACAAATTTGAGATGGTAAATCTGATTATCAAGGGTGTTCCTGCCTCAGACGTCCAATTCTGTATTGATGAGGAAGTCATTTAGCAGTTGTTAAATTCAGGGCTTTGACTTTGTCAAAACGTTGGTACTGAACAGGACTAAAAAAATAATTATATTTTAAGGTATGTTATGTGCATATACTGTAATATATAAATCTATAGAAAATTTTTTTTTAATAATTTAATGCCAAAAAATTATGCCTCTTTGCAATGGAGTCGTGGTGGCACAGGGTTGGTCTTCTGTGTTTCAATCAGTTGCAACAATTATAAAAATTAAAACTGTCCGCCCTTCTGGAACACAACATAGTCACATACTTCATATAGAAGAATAGGACAACAGTGGCATTGCATCTTATTATGAAGCCCCTCAATGTAAAGACATCCAATCAAACAATTGTATTTTTTCAAAGATTAGATTTCAGAACACTGAAAAATTGCATATGCCTCATGTTTTTTTTTAAAGGGGCTTCCCGCAATGCTGGTTGCTATTTGAAGGATCACAACAACAAGTACTTGGCATTTGGTGAAGTGTGGTCTGTTCCTGGGGAATGTTCCGCCATTTCTTGTGAGAGAAGCATTGCTTTGCCTGATGGCACTCCAGCATTCCAGTTGCAGTTCATGGGGTGAGATATTCAGTTTTTATACATTTGCATGCGCATAAATGGAGATTGTCTTGTTCATCATCATGCTTCCATCATACATTTTAGATCAAGTCTTCATCAATGGCACTGCTCATTGGTTCATTGGCATTATTGCTAATTTCTCATCACAAATTAAGGACCAGTGCAATGCTGCTGCTACAGCTAGGTGGTACCTCACAATTTGACTGTAATCTGTTGCCAAACTGGGTTCAATTGCAAAGCAGTCAAATTGCCCTTTGTTAATTAAGAAATAATATCAGTACAGTAATGCAAAAAAAAAATTAATTGGCCAAAGCAGGTCATATTTCAGGCCAAGGGTCAAATTGCAAGTTAACCTCCCTGAACGTTGGATCCAGTAGAATTGCAGGACAATCAAATTGCGGGAGACCAAATTGCAAGGCTACCACATGTAGATATTTCTGAGTTTTCTAAAAATGTTTTTTAAAACAAATCCTCCATGAAAAGCCATGAGTGCTCTTAAGGCATAACAATATGTAAAAATTTTGAAAGAGCTTTTCCAAATGCACGTCCTTTTTCTGTGAACTTTTTTCAATTTGTTTCATGACTTGAATAATGTAACAAAATATTGCAAATTGATACCTGCTGAAAGTTCAATGCAATGCATGTAAATCATTTACAGTAGAATTATACCTTTTCACATCTCTGCAAATGTATGAGTAATAACTCTGCATTTTCCGAATAAAAACTATGTATTTGGTGCTGAACTTGGACGTCAGTGCTGTGCATATTAATTTTTCCAAAGGGTCCACCTTTTTTTGTGACTTGGCCACTTGGAAGCCTTCTCGATCAGCTATATACTTCATTTTGTTTTCATACCAGATTCACTCGACATGAAGTTGACGTCTGATGCAACAATTGTTTTGACTAATGAAATCAATGAAGAGAGTGCAAACATAAGTTATTATACAGAACTTATTGGCTGAGACTGTTCATACTTTTCAGTGAAATAAGTAACTAGATCAGCAGCAATTAATCCGAATCACTTTAAACATTTTATTTCATTTTTATCACTTTTTCACGGTTTTTATGTGTAAAATAACAAACCAATTTGGACAGTCATTGTATATTTTCGCAGTAGATGGTCAAATTTAGGATGAACTGCGCTGTTTTTCATCACTACTTACAGAGCACATCATCAGTTTATAAATGAACGTGTATGTATAACTTGCATTTTTCACTTACTCATTCACATTCACAAATTCCAAGAATTATCATGGAGAACCTGGTAAATGAATGTATTTATGTATATATAGCTATGCATCCTGGTTCCCCTTTCACGCGCTATCTAGTTCTTATACTGTATTCAAGTTTAGTCAGTGATTGATTCATGGGCCAGTTGTTGGATCACGTCCAGCAGCAGCTTTCGAGTCAAGTGAAACGAGATTTTATTGAGTCCAAAGAAAAAAAAACAAAAACAAACCCGAATAAGCAACCGAATCCGTGGTCAACTTTTCGCCGCTCGTATAGTGTTGTTGACTTTCCCCTTGTCACTAAGCTTTTTTTAATATAGGTTGTGTTTAAAATAAAGCACTTTACTGTACTGTATGCATCAAACATCATTTACTACATTTTCACGTGTCGAGCCGCACTCTTCTGTCCGAAAAAAAAAACAATATTGAAGATGACCCGGTCAATGTACTGTACTTGATGCACTGCATTGAGAACCCCTTTATTTATCTAAACAGTCTGTTACCTGAGAATTTAATACTGCTTGTACTGTAAAAAAGTTTGCCCAATTATTTGGATATTATGCAGTAAAATCTTGTTACCACAAATATGCTTGTTATTTTGAGACACAATTTTAGATTTTCGCCGGCTTATGATTGGATTCGAAACATAATGAACAAATCAATTCTTCAGCGATTAACCAGCAGCTATAAATTGATGAATAAAAAAAAAGAAGATGCAAGCATTTTTCTCGTCTTTATCGCTGAATGAATGAATGTAAACAATCAAGTTTCATCAGTATATATAACTCTTTTATTTGAGTGCGAGAATCCGGTTCCGATGAAAGAGATTCACTGCTTGCATGCTTGTGCTGAATTCCATAAATATTACAGACGAGCCTACTTTTTGAAGCGCCATCACTATATTTTTATGCTTGATTTTTTTGTTACTATTTCTCGACATTGAAAAAAAATATTAGATGCGGGATGCAAGCCGTGATGAGGCCATGTTGGTCCACTGACTTCCGAACCGGGCCGTACCCGAAATGCTGCCCCAGAATCCAGTGCCCGGATGCGGACGGGGACTTGGAGTCCAATTCCATCAATGACATCTGAAGTCACTCACTCATGCTCATCAGTGATGGTCCAATTAAAAAGCGACCAGGCATTTATCTAGTCTGCTCATGGGGACTTGCTGGAGACCAAGACATCGAGAGAGCATTCCTCACTTATTATTCGCTTCTATACAGTATATATTCGTCATCGCCGTATCCCCGCCGGCTTCTTTCTTTCAATTACCAGTCTCGGCCACTCTACAACTTTACTACTGTGGATTCTTTACAGTACAGTATTATGCATTGTACATATTCATTATTGTGCGTGATGTCCCTTTTATTATCGATCGTCGCGAAAATACAATCAGAAAACTCGAGTATTCCTATTGATTGTTGAATATAAATAAATACTGTAGCAAGCAAATCGAGGAGTTCAATATCATTTGGTTCGATATTCCTCACACCCAGCTCTTTTCGGCTTTCATTTTCAAAATTTTGATTTCATAGTGATACAACTATCGTCTTCTGATTATTTAGTTGTTTCTTTCTGAGCGCAATTAATGGAGAACATTTGCGTTATTTATACAAATGTGTGAGCACAATAATGCAGTATAATGCTGTATATTAATTGTCAAAATTACAGAATTCGTCTATAACAAGGAGGTATACGTGTCACGGGGCGAAACGATTTTCGAATCAAAAGCTTGAATTCTGACGATCATCATACGTATAAATATTGATAATATTCCATCATGCAGATAAGTACGACATAAAACACGTCGAATTGAAAAAAATGTTTTTCAACGAAACATATACTCTTTAAAATGAACAAAGAAAAAAGTAAGGGAAAAAGTTTACAAATTTGGGAGCGGATACAAATACTGTGTTCATTTCCGAACGAGTCGTTCCAACTACAACAAAAAAAAAGTCACAAATGATGAAATGCAACGACAGGATATGCGTAAAATTGCAAACTTCCAGTATTGGCGATGCTGTTGTCATCGTCTTGTGCTGGAATCGACGTCGTTTTTGACCTGGGCAAAATTCTCTTTTTGTTGGACGTCGCTGCTGATGACGATTCTCCTATAAAAGGCCCAAAGTGACACTGACGTCGCGGGCAGCACAACGGAAACGGAAGTCGCTGGTCCGGAACATAAATGCTGCAGCCTTGGTTTCCGTGATGATGCACGTTTTGTTCGCACCTGCAAACAATTGAACGATTAAACCGAGAGAAAATATAGAAAGAACCACACACAAAAAAGGAAGAAAAAAAATCAGAGTGCATCACTGATCATGCGAACTTTTCTCTCTTGATGATCACATTCGCACAAGGACAAAAATTCTGCGGAAAATGATCGATATGTTTCGCCGGGTAATTTTCGAATATCACGAATTTCGATAGCTGACAAATTTTACTCAAGTAGAGCATCAGCATCATACATTGTAAGAATAAATTTCACAAAATACAAATTCGAAGTACAGTATTACAGAAAGTCATGGGAATAGATTACGACTTTCATATGAGAATTATTCAAGTGTATNATATAGCGAGTTGAGCCAGCAGGTTAAATGTTTTTTTCTTTCTCGCAGTTACACCTGAATGACGACTGAAATCGCTGGATAGATACTATTTTGAAAAGTTAATATATTGATGAACCCCGGATTTCAACTACTGTACTGCTTAGAACCTCTTTGCGAAAAATCAGCATTCAGCAGGCAAAACATTCAAATTGGGGACATTCAAATACGCGTATGTATCACTTCTTTATGAATGTTAAGCTTTCGTTGTACTCTGACATTTCAAAGAAATTTCCCCACTTCCTTCAAAATCTCAGTCAAAATTTTAAAAAATTTCAATCGGTTTTCTTCAATAAATGCCCATCATATATATTTCAAACTCAGTTCAGCCCTGCTTAATTATATTTAAATAAACCACAACAACATTCAAACAGGGATGGAAAAAAAAGGCAACGAAATGCTGTCTGAATGATGATGATGATGATGATGAAATGATTGGCAATGATGAATGACGGGCAAAAACAGAAGAAAGAAAAAGCAAAAAATGGAATAAAAATATACCAACCCCGTGACTTGCAGGGTGTAATAGCCGGAACGCGAACCCGGGTGATGGGTTTTCACGCACGAAACCTGCTCGCAGGGTGGCAGGCGACCCGAGGACGACTCCGGGCCAAGATCTGCATTGCAATCCCTGGAAACTGGGTAAGAAAACCCTGCTGGCACGATCCTGTCCCAGTACTCAGACACGCACATCCCGGGAAAGTCTGCAATCCGAGTAATTTACATGACATATTGCTGTGCCAATACAGTAATAATAATAATAATAATGCGGTTGGCAAACTTTCGCCTGAACCCTTGAGAAAGGTACCATTTGATAAATGTGCTTCAATGAATATCGAGGAAGGACTGTGCAGCAGAAATCACATCCGAGTTATTATCGGTGCGCTGGGGAATATTACAAAATTATTGCGAATAAATTTTGCTTGAAGCACAACTACGATAAAAATTCACAATAAAAATGATTGCCAGCCATAATTTACAGTTTATAATCTCGATACGTCAGATACCTCGTCCTTATACATGTCGATTTTTTTTTCTCTCAAGTCCCTGGCTGAATTTCCATTTTTTTAAATGCACCAAAAATCTCATGAACGCGAAGGTTTTCTCCCTCATCGAAATCCCCAAAACTCGGAATTTCTGCTGGAGACACTTCTCGCAATTAATTCTATTGACACAGGGAATAAATACGAGAATGAAAACAATAAAAATTCAACTTGATGCGTTTTGAATTAAGGAAGTGAAAGACTACCGGTAATTGTGGAATTGAACGCATTGTCTTCAACCTCATCAGCATCCTGTCAACCCATTATTCTTTAAACAGCAATTTAATCAATTTAATGCTCAGAATGTCACGGAATACAATCGTATTGAAACTATCTCTATAACTGATGGAAACCTCCCTCGCTCATCGGGATCTTTTAGTTTTAGTTTGACTTACAGAATTTCGAATGCTGTGTTTGGACGTTAGAACGCTAATCAACCGATTGCTACTGCAGCAGCTTGAAATTGACTTCATTTTGTATTCAGCTGATATTATGAGTGACATCTACATGATCCCCGTGGAACAATTGTGTATCGCATGGTTTAAACATTTCATGCCGGTGTATTTACGGAGATAGCAAATAAATCATAAACCCCTGATTTATCATCAATAAATACTGCGAAAGTAATATACAAATGTTAGAATAAGCATCATTGAGAAGAAAAGAAAAGAAAACGCCAATTCTTGAAACTCACTTTCATGCTCCTGGTGTTCATCCACGATCACCACATAACCGACCACACTTTTCGACACCATCAGCACCACCAATATTAGTGAGAGAACAGGAAGGGCAAACGTTTTTGCGGCGAAATGATGGGAATCAGACCGCATGATGCTGACGATCAGTTACAGTTATTAAATAGGATTAATGTTCTGGCGAGGTTTAAAAAAAAAAATCTTTCTTCCTCGATCAATTCTTATTCTCTATCCAAACTGGCCTCAGGCAGGGAAATGGCCCCAGGAACCTGCCATGCATCGCAAGACCTGACTTGGCGAGCGGAATGTTTACAGGGAAGAATTTTACGGAATAAAGCTTCACTATATAGACTGTCCACGAAATAAAAATAGTGACTTGAGTTTCATGGATCATCCGTGGGAATCCGTCAAAGAAACTTGATTCGACTTGAATATATCATAATTGCATCGCAGACGATCTCAAATGCCATATGGACACTGTATAATCCTTATACAATATATATATAGAATACAGACACTGTACTGTGTATAAGATAAAATGTGCTGTACTTGAGAGAGAGAGAGAGAGAGAGAGAGAGAGAGATTTTATTTCTTGATTTGGAAAAAAAATGACACACAAAACCATGATAGAAAGTACTCAAACTACAGTACAGTATTTACTAAACTTTGTTGCTGCTTTTGAGCAACTTTGAAAAATCTGTAATATTTTATGTTAGTGTGACATACACATTTGTGAGATATCATATATTTGGGTGCGTGACATAAACATTTGAAGCGCAAGTACGTAAATTAAGTTCTCTTTATTTTAAACCATCTGCAGTGAATTCAAAATATTTTCAAACAAATGTTGTGCCCATATATAACATACGTTCATATGAGAACTGGAAAAAACCTAATCTCTGAATGATGAAGGTCCAGCAATACGTTCTGAAAAATGATTCCACTATTTTTTTTTTTCGAAAAAGCTTGAAAATTGCTAGCTTTTCAAAGTGAAACCCATGTGTCTCTATTTAGAAATAAGTTCTGTATATTTCTTGAACAATAAAAAAATTCCCTGTTGGAGAATCGAGTATGATTTAAACAAAAACTTTCAAAAATTGTGCATCACCAACCGCGATGTTCACCTTCTTTACCCCCCCCCCCCTCTTAGTTAAAAAAAGGATTACACTTCTGGTACAAGACAATTGTAAATGGGGTAGTACAGTACTGTATAGTTCTTATTATGATGACTTATCTGCTTACTTTGCGCTCTGAAATGCGATGCAGCAGAGTAGTCTTGTGCACGATGCTAAGTGAAGTCAGTCAACAGCACCGCCCAGCAGCAACGAGGAAGAATTAGAACAAACTCATCTCATAGCTCTATAGTCTATACTATAGTCTCTCTATACAATGAAGTAGGCCTAGGCTGAAACGGACGAAACTCGCTGCTGTGACCTGCAATTAAAGCTCGTCTCGCCCGGATGCTCAACCCTGACGCCGCTTTTTTTTTTTTTCCTTTTCTCTCCCATAGTCGTAGCAACATAACATTAAAACAACGGTCGTTTTCAAACAAAAACAAGGACAGAAGAACAGCAACAACAACAAAAAAAGAGAAGAAAAGAAAAGACAAAGGTTTTATTTTAGATCACCACCAGCAGTGGTCTGCAACCCCTTGTCTGGGGACTTTTTTTTTTGCCAATAATCCGCCGGAAATTGTGTCCAACAAAATTTACTTTTTGGCGATGAAAGTTTACATTAGAGGAGCTTTACTGCAGGTATTTATGGAATGCCTTCTGGTTTTCAAAAAAAAAAATGGCCAGTCCGAAAACGTCAAGGAAGGTCGATCGACAAACATTAATTGTTTCAGATCTTTCAGATTTTGAGACCAAGAGCTGAGAGAATCGTCATCCATGCTGCACTGAATCAGTATATGCGGAACGAATATCGTAGATTAGATAAAGAAAGGAACATTCCTGATCTACTCATTTTGTGTCTGTATACAGTATATAAAGCGCTCGTCGCTCATGAGATTCGGGATATACTGTACTGCGTATATCTGCAACAAAACCTCATCATATGTTATTGGCCCATTTTCGCGTATGTGTATATGCATCAGGGATTTCATACGAATAAGATTCGTGTAATATTTTAAGTGCGATTTATACATATGTAAACATCGTCATGGGTGGAAAACAATCGTCGCAGCTCGACATTGACGATGTCGATGATTACGTCGCTTTGAGCTTCTTGACCCGCCGACAGGTTTACTCGTGAGTACATTGTATTTATGAGTATCTAGTCTAATGCATGATGCTGCTATGTGTACACATGATCATGAGTACTTCTTGTATGTAAAGGCTCTGTGAACTGAATATTTTCGAGTTATTCACAACGAAATTTTTAAAAGTCTTGCTAGGCGGGCGGAAAAGAAATGCGACTTGCTTACGAAAACAGGTTTGGCATTTATAATGACATACTTATTGCCAACGGGTTTTCAGTCCCAGCAGCAGACGACGCGGAGCATGATATAATACGGTATACAGTACCGTACTTCAGAAACATGAATTCAATGGACTTCAATTTACCAAGTTGTTTCAACAACAACAACAACAACAAAATTGGGGCTTTATTATTTGATCAAGTACTCATGTATTCTCTTCCCGCTCGTATTTATCGCTAATTTTTTTGTTGTTGCGTCTTTCACCTTCACTATGTACTGCAAGACTCTTTGAAAGGTTCAAACAACTGGACCGAGAAGCAGTTGGTGCGAACAAAGATGCCAGGATTCCGGTTCAGACCATTCTTCATCAGGCCAGAGATATTTTTCCGGAATTCAAAGTGAGGATTTAGTCTTTTTTTTTAAATTCCATATAGATTTAGTTCTATCAAAATTGTATGAATATTTATTGTTGATTTTGTGTTTCCCCTTCCCCCCACATTTAGTGTAATCCATTTGCAGACAGGATCTTCAAGGTATTTTCTTCGGAAGAGGACGACGCCATGTCTTTCGAAGACTTTATCGACCTTGCGTCAGTTTTCAGTGAAGAAGCAGACGAAAAGTTGAAAGCTGCCTACGTTTTCCAAATGTTTGGTGAGTCTGCTTTTACGTGATGTAGGAAGTCAATTTTCACATTCCGAATATTCATCGCATTTTGCCATTATTACTTTTTTTCACCGTGGTCTTATTAGTATTATTCTGCATTTACAAGAGAATAAATAATTAAATTACAGTACATATGTGAAGCTTTTAACCTTTTGATTTTCCTTATACTGCATACGCTGGGTTCAAATAAGTTTATAATAATGCTTATATTTTTGAAAACTCGGTTTTCGCAAAATGTGGAAGCAGAAAGACATTTTGTTCTGAACGGCACAATCATATAGACAAAGTGCTGACAACATTTTGCAGTGTGAATAATATACTGGGGAAAAATTTCAGGGAAAACACGAACAGATTTGGAAAACAGTGAATTTCATAAAATGAGGTGGCAAATAGGTGGTAAAGAGTGCTGACGGAATGAGAAAAGCCTGTCACATTTATTTTTATTCATAACGATTGTACGTTTTCCCCATTGCTCGTTTTAGTCTGCATACAATATACGCAGCAAAAGATAATGAAAAAAAAATATTGACGACAACAAACCCATTTCAGATTTCGATGAAGACGAGGCAATTGGATTTGCAGACCTGGAAGAACTCGTACGTCGTCTGACAAGTTCCAGTAAGAATTCGGGACTCATAAACCCCGCATTTCGGTCGGAATCAGATTTAGCCCGATCTTCTTCTCAAGGAAAACGAATAGAAAAGGCAGTGCATGAAGATGCTTTGCCGAAAGAAACTTTGCAGAAAATTGTGGAGCAGGTGAGAATACCGTAACAACTCGCTGATTCACGAGTCCAGATATTTAAGAAAACAGAGTCTCATCACACAATTTTGAAGCCATCGCTTATTGAATCGAATCTATGGAAATTTCAATTAAATTCATCGCTCACAATTTAAAGTGCATCTGAAATAGTTCAAAAACACATGAGCTTAAATTATATCTAGAAAATTATCTGGCAGAATTATTGTTTTTTACACTTCGAAGAAATTGGGATCAGCAGTGACAGCCTCACAGGGTCTCAATTTTTTCAAATAATAAATGCCGTCAATTTTTTAATTTAAAATTGCTGAATATTTAATTTTTCTGTACAGTGTCATATCAACATGAATCAATCCACAAGAACTAGCGTTTCAGTCGACAGCTGGAAAAAATATGCGAATTGTTGCGATGGACATGGAATACGATGACATTGAATAATGGTTGCAAAATTTCAAGAAATTCAAATTTACGATTGGAAAAATGAAATAGTTTTTTTCCATCACATCTTTTGAATAATTTCATGAGACATCTTTTCCAATCAAAGGAGTAAGAAATTCTTGAGATCTCTCACGTAAAAAACGAGAATTAAATAAATAAATAAAAACGCGAGACAATTCATCCTATGCCTCTGTTGATGACGACAACAGTTTGCATGTGACGTCTCGAAAATTGTTTTTGGAAAAAAATATCCTGACTCAGCATTTTATTTTGGTGCTTATTATTGATGTTTTTCTCCAATAACAGGTTCTTTCACAGTCTGTCATGGGAAAGGCCAAAGAAATCAGTTACCAGGAATTCGTTCACTTGACTTCCAAGCTTCCGGACTTCGCTTCCGCCTTCACCATCCATTTTTGAAAAGAAAATCATTTCCATCGTCACGCAACTTTTCTCTTTTTTATTTATTCGAAAAATAAACATCTTGGCGCATCGTTTTCGCGGATATTCCAAAAGCGCACAATCGAAGCATTCAAATTCCTCCTCGGCATGTGTACAATATTTTTCAACTCGTGAGCGCTGCTGGCAACATAAACCGCGCTGTGGAATCAATGTTTCTTTCATGCAGTACGTCGTTTCCGGGATTAATTGCTCAAAATTGTGTACAGTACACATATATAGTGTCAAAGCAATAAGAATAAGAGGAATGAATAAAGTGTCTCTCTTCTGCAGAATATACGGTACAGTAATTTGCAAGCTGACGCCCTCGGCTCGAGCAGCATCAGGCCGAAGACACCTTTCGAGTTAGGTTTCCTCCTCGGCCATCATCCTCAATATATTATTAACACGCGTACCGTGTATATTTACCGAGCCGAGGCATGTCAGTTTTACCCGGGTTCCCATTTTTAACGCAAGAGATGGCGGTCGTCTGCTGCTGGGCTGCTGTGTCAAAGAGCATCAGCAGCAGCAGCAGCAGCTCAGGGCGTCACACCCTGCTGCTGCTGCTGTTGTCGTCACTTTTTGCCAGAGCCTCGTGATCGTCAGAGATGAGTGTCTGATGATGGACAGCAGGACTCTATGATTCGCCTGGGGGCCCCGAGCACTCGCTTGGCCAGCGAACACGCCTTGGCCTCGGGCAAGAGACAGATGCTGGCGTCACTACCCGACACCAAGTGGGGGCAGCAGGTGGTCAGTGGGGCCCTGAGGGCCTCGCAGGCAGACCGGGACAGGTCGTCAGCACCGAAGCCGGAGCAGGATTCAGACTGGGGCTGCTTGGAGTGCTTGAGGAACTTGCGACAGCAATGCAGGTGCAACTGGAGAGCAGAGCAGTTGTTGCTGGGAGAGGATCACAGGGTCCTTTCCATCAGCATCAGGGTCTGCTGCTGCTGCTGCTCATCATCTGGGTTGTGGTGTTTCTCACTGCTGCTGCTGCTCAGGGTGTCATCAGCAGCACCCCAATGGTTGTGCCTCAGATACAGCTTCCTTTTGGGAATGAACCTGTTGGTTTGTTTGTTTGTTATTGGACATTATAAATGACAGTTGGAACACATAACAACAACAACACTAACAAAAAGCACTTCAGCTACGAAAAGCTTGAAATAAACCTTTTCCTTGTAGTACAGTACAATATATGGGATTTACTTGAAAATTCCTCTGCAATGTTTTCTTTTCTCATACAGTATTGGTTCAGTTCGTGGCACTTTCTTCATGGGGACAAAGCAGTACATTTTTTTGTCATAACAAAATCATTTCCCTTGAGCCTATCACGGTTATTTCTCAGAGAGACTTGCGGAACGATTTAGCAAGACTCTCTTTGAATCTCTCTATTTTTATGTTTGTGTGATTGTACAATTATTTATATTGTGACTTGAACATATTGAAAGTATTTTTTATTGAAGTACATATTTTTTTTCCGTTGGTAACTCTACGGACAACAAATAAAAAGATGTTTTTTGGTAATTCTTTCAAATGATAATGTACCAGTGATTTATTTTGTTTCACCTTTTTGGGGACTCCCCAAAATGATTGTGGTGCTCCAGTGAGGAATAAGACTCATCAGCAAACTTTGCAGAAGGGTCTTCATCCTCATCCCTGTATTGCTTCCTCTGCTTATTGTACATCTTCTTCTTTTTCCAGTAATAGTTCTTCTTGGCATGAGTGGGAATCCGTCTGATGGTTTCTGGTTCCTGCTCCTCCACATCCATCATGTTCTCTTCCTCACCCATGTATTGTCGGTAGAGCTTTTCTCTGCTCATCACCTGATGATGAGGCCTATTATTATTGTACTTGCTCCTGTTTCTGTACTTGCGAGCCTTGTGGTACACTCTCCTGGGTGGCGCGGGAGTGACCACCACAGGGATCCAGGGCTGCATGGGTGCCAACAAGGTGCTCCACGGATTTTGGTGGTCCTCGCCGATAAGCCAAGGTTGCGCAGTTAGAAATAATTTGAGCAAATCATCATCTAAGCCAGCAGTGTATGGGGGACGATGAGGTTGGAATGCATTATTGGGCTTCAGTTCCTCAAGACCTTGTTCAGGAAGTGCAGGGATTGGCTCAGTGGTGAGGTCGACTTCTGGGACTGGTGGGTTCTCTCTTACTTCCACCACTGGAACATCTGAAATGTCACTCCTGGAGGAAAAAAAAAATATAGAGGATACTTTAATACCAAGGGCACATAAACTGTATGTTTTGCAAAGTCAAGTGGATCGAAAAAGGAAAATACACATAAAAATAAACAGCCATGTAAATAATTTTTCAATTTTTTTAGGATTTCAGGTGCCATCATGAACACTTGATCCTCATAGAAAATTTTCTACAAATTTCACCAAAGAATTTTCATTTTCAATGGAAACTGGGGGAAATTAGTTCAAGTAGGAAAGTCAAAATTTTGATTTTGATGCCTTAAAAATTTTTTTAATCTCCCAACTCTTATAGTCACTGAACATAAGGTGCATATCATATACTTGGGAATAGGATTTTACCACAGTATAAAACTTGGTGCATGTCTTACTAATTTATGCATGTTAATCAAATATAAATTCTCAACCTAAATCATAGAATCTTGAAAAAAATCCTGTTCTCAATGAAACTTACCGTCATGCAGGTTTGAAGGTTGAGATTTTTGTTCAATTATTGGCTCAAATATAAATTTTTTTTTAAATGACCACAAATTAGCAACATTTTAAATTCAGATAATAATGTATCTGATAAATGTGACTACCAAAGGATTTCATAAGAAAAGGTCGGTGTTGAATTGTTAGTCCAACTGCAATGGTTCAGTATTTACAAAAGCACACTGATGATGATGATGATGATGATGGCCTTCTCCTATACAACTCCAGAGTCCAGTCTGAAGCAACAAAAAAGGTTGTTTCATGCTTTTTGAACTTTATTGATTTACCTTGGAGCATGTTCAGCTCTGTTCAATGGCTCCAGATCCGTGGCAGGCAATGCAAAGTCTTCTCCATCGACATCATCCAGCCTCTGGAGCTTAATGTCGATTTCAGTCTCTTCCAAAGCATCCATTGGAGGAGGTAGAACCTCTTTGACCACGTCCAAGTCAGAAGGAAGCTGAAGCACGACTGCTGGGTCTTCGCAGTTTGTGACACTTGTCGAGGTTGTCTCATCAAATACCACTGTGCACTGGACTTTCTTGGGCTCATCCTCATCAGTGGGCAAGTCATCCTTCAGTTGCTGGATTTCTTCAATTTCCTGAACAATTTCTGCAGGTACCTCAATTTGCTCTTGTTGAGGCTCCTGTTGGGCCTCTTGAGTCTCTTCAGTGTCACATCCTCATCAGTGGGCAAGTCATCCTTCAGTTGCTGGATTTCTTCAATTTCCTGAACAATTTCTGCAGGTACCTCAATTTGCTCTTGTTGAGGCTCCTGTTGGGCCTCTTGAGTCTCTTCAGTGTCTAATGCTTCATCTTGACAAGGTCCACACAAGTCTTTGTTCTCCAGCACTTGCTTCAATGACTTCTGAACAAACTGGAATGGGCTGAGAATGTCACTGAATGGCATTGGGATGTGGAAAGCCAGCCTACCACACCTGCAAATACATTAATTCAATTATAATTTTTTTTTTTAATTTTGGGGAGTTGTCTGTCCTTTTTTACAGTGCATTGAAAAATATATGTCAACCTTATCAACTCACTGCCCATGAACAGTTGGTTTGCTGCTAATAAAATAAAATCCTGCTATAATAATAAGGGGAACCCCAAGCAACTTACAGACATTCAAATGAATATGATCTTAAAACCAATACAGTATAAAAATAATGAACACCACATTTTTAAATTACTTAATTTTTGCCTCTAAGGTTTTTTGTTTTGTTTTTGAATAAGGTTTACTAAGCTTTAACTCATCAGCAGCAAGGTCAGACTTTTTTCCATTCAATATTTGAGTGACTGTGAGGAGAGGTTTTCTAATCTTAGCAATTTTAACGTTTTTTGTATCTTTTTTAGTGTGTGCAAACTTTATGAACCACAACAAAATCTGGAAAAAATTGGCTTTTTTCCTCACCACAGAAAATGTTCACCCGGAAAAATTATCCTTTTAAAGGCTGGTTTTCTTTATCGCCTGCATGGATGTGGTGTCATTGCCTAACTCAGAGATGGTTGAGGATCTTAGGGGTCCAATTCTAAGCATGAGAAGTAAAGCTTATGCATTACTTTAAAGACAACAAAATCCAACTTATTCAGAAACAATGAATTGCTTATGGATAAGAAACCTTTGCTGCTGAAGGGTTGCAGCATGAGTATAATGTGCTTCGTTATGTTGGGGAGCACTGTATAGGCAAAAAGCAGAGTTTAAAAATGAAAATGTGTATAAATAAAATGTACCTGTCATACAAAAGGATGTCATCCCTGGATCCTCCCAGAATTTCCCACACCGGGTCTTGATGAGTCTCTTGATACACTGGGATCTTGAGGCTAGTTGCTTCTTGTAGCTTCAAACTATACAACATAGACAGCATACTGGCTTCATTCACAATGGCTGCATTGAAATAATGCCCCTCTTGTTCCATCCTGTCCTTCAGTAGGCTTATGCTTGAATTTACAATACAGAGATAACATAAAATTGCATATCAAACCTTTTGGTTCACTTTTGGCACCACTATAATTAGGCTCATTCAACCATATACTGTATACATACAAAAAGGCTTGTCTTATGCAGAAGCCACAGGATGCAGACAATAAAGCCACTAGAGTAACATTCCCTCTGGAATTGGCAACAACGTCTTCCCCTTTGATAGACCACTTCTTGGTGGGTAGACAAGTGTGACTCTGGGGGTCTGCATCAGGGTCTTGAGCACCAGCACCAGCACCAAGGATTGCCAAGGCTACACCTATGACCCCAACCACTGCTGCTGTCCTTGGCTTCACCAGCATGATTGCTGGGGTTCTTTTTTTCCTTTAAACTCTGACTCCTTTGTCAAAAATACTGTATGCGCCCTTGAGAATCAATTATAAAAATTCCAATTGAATTCTATGGGAAATTGAGGTCTAGCATGTGGATGTTCCCACATATGGACAAGGTTCAAGCACCATTTACCGCATTTACATCTTGGGGTCCCATTGTATATGGTTTAAAAATGCTTTAAAATGTTATACGTGCCTATGACACACACACACCCACCCATTTCTTTCTTCTTCGTTAAAAAAATAAATGCACATGGTACTCAAGTAAATAGAGTACAGTGCTGTACTGTATAACCAGCATGATGTCCATGGCATGCAAAAGATTTCAACAAGCCACGTATAAAACACATGAACACACGAAATCTTGGACTTTTTGGAATGAAGGGTCTATACTTTATATTGCACAACCTGCACATAGCAGCAGTGCTGGATGAACAACTCCTTCTCATCAGGTCTGGCTTTGCACTGAATCCGGAATGGGTCTATACAGTAACGGCACCAACTAATACTGGCAGGCATCAACAGCAGGCAAGGGTGGATGGAAGAAAGCCAGATGCCCTTCACTTGTGCTTGATATTCACAGCAGCACAAGTAACACAAACACAAAAGTGCCTCGCTGCTGATGTGTCAAGTACATGCACATGATGCGCATTAACTTTGGAAGCCACTCAAGCTCCACGTATACGTATACCCTGTGCGTATATTCCAGTATAGTGGTGCTCACTCTCATTCATAATACAGTACGTATATACTTTATATATACAAATACAGCATACGAGTATACCCAAAGTCCCAAACACAACTATTTCATTACCCATAACCTCTCATCCACATGGCAACTCGTCATCGGAGGAGGGATAAGACGCGCAAAGTATCCTGTGTCAAACATTATTTTAATACTTGGAGGCACGCACGAAAGAGGAATCCAGCAGTACGCTGACGATGAGAAAGTAATCAAAATACGACATGCGATGTGCCGTACATCAACATCACGCATGTTCGACACACATTTGAAGTGTTTATTTTGAAGAATTTTCTGAACTCAGCTCTTGTTTCAAGAAACATGCAGTACATGTGAATGAATAATTACTCAGAACCAGCAGTACGTGCAATGCTGCTGTACTCCGTAAGTAGTCGTATACTGTAGTAGTAGTACTGTACAACGCCTTCACGGGTAAAGGTTACTAGGGACATCTTTTGTTGACGAAAATCCTTCAATACAAACTAGCAAGACAGATGTCGCTGTTTGATTCGAAGTGCCAATGGCAAATTCTGCTTGCACCAGATCGTCACTGCGGGGGCGACGTGTCACATTATTAATTGATGGGCCATTCAGCTGCAGTTGATATAACAGTCTTCAGTTTGAAGAAATTTAGTTTCACTCCTGATGCACGCTGATGGTATAGTTTTACAAAAGACACGAACGGTTTTCTACGCGACGCTGAAACCAAATGATCTCTGTCTCAAATTTCCTTTTTATGAAATAAATCGCAAGTCGCAACACTCATATGGTTAATAGACTTGTCTTGTCTAAATTTCTATTCTTGCTGGACCATTTGGTATTATAAGAATTCAGATGGAGCATCCCAAATTTAAAAATTAAACAAAATATTTTTTTTTAAACTCCGATTACTTTTCTCCTCATTATGTATATAAATGCCCGGTGTACACTTCGACTCTGAGATTTTGCATTTTTCTCTGCTTTGGAGATGCACTTTGATGCAATTGCGATGAGGTTGAAGATATTTATGCTTGGCTGCGGATATTAATGAAATCTGCGAATTTGACAGATTACTTCGGTGCAGGAATCACATTTTTTCCAGTCAGCTAGTGCATATACTACAGTATATGCAAATGCATATTTGCGGCAAGAATTGGATATGGGATTAAAAAGTAGCATTTCAAGCAGACACCCTTCGAGGCTGCTTCTATATACACATGCATAAACGTGACATATCAGACGTTATTCAAACCGCGATTTTCTCATTTTCACTTCGACGTGGATTTCGAAGAAGAAGAAGAAGAAGGAAAATAATAAAACAGTATGCAGCAGGAGGATATATAAAGTATTCTCATTGAAATAAATTGCGATCAACTTTAATTGAGCACAGAAGGAAATTCTCTCGAGTCCTGAGAGTTTGGAAATCTTTCCTTCATTATTTTGCATCGCGAACGACGACGACGACGACGTCTTCAAGAAGTCGTTCAAGTTTCCGCATGAAATTCCAGCGCTTTCGCAATGAAACACTTGCGCTTTGCTTTTCAGTGCCGACACATTTCACTTCCCTTCGTCAAGGGTCGTCGTAGCGCGCAACGTGTCTTTGTGAAAACTATATATAGAGCAACTTGAGTTCTTGAAAAACTACTGTGTTCTTTTGATGACATTCCCTATATATACTGAATGCACAATGAAGGAGAAGATAAATCACCAGTTTAACTTATTTTGACTTGGTTACAGTGTTCTTAATTAGCAGTTGAAAATGTGTCATCCTCCGTCAAGTACAAGTGTTTTACAGGGTGGTAGATGTCGCTGTCGGCAGCAAGAGCCCTATACTATGTACAGTATAACAAAGCGTTGGTAAATCAAAGGCTTCGTTATAATTTCAACAAAAGTTATATTAGCGTAAATTGTTGAATGACCCTTTACTGCATGCCGATGGTATTCGCCTCGTGCTGGTATTAGTCGGGCTCACAGTAACATTTTGCACAGGTTTATATATAAGAGACTCTGCTGGAAGAGGCCAAATAATAGTTGACTTGAATAAAGCAGTCTCACTGAGTTATTTCCTCGTCGTTTTATTCGACTTTTCGTCTGCGTCGGCTAGACTACATCAGGGTGAGTGCGACAATTGAGAATTTTGATTGGCTATAGACCTGCTTTCCTTGTACAGTATTGTGTTGTATAAATAAATGCAGCCAACTTTGTGATTTTTGACGACAAACTATTGCAAGTAAGAATGCACAGCATAAACTCCATCGAATGATTCAAATAACGGATGATGAATTCCGGTATGAATAAATATGAAAAGTCCTAAAGAGAATATGCGGTCATTTGATAATTCCGAGTTTAACATCAATTATATCTAATTTTTTTTCTACTCTGGTGAAGTGCAGTACAGTACTGTACTGTATTAGTCCGTTGAATAATATAGTTGCATCGTCATTTTGTGCATAACACAGCTGTGTTCCGGGATAATCGATGAGGAAGATATGCTCGCAATAAGCGCGTTAATTGCATGATATCACACGGTTGGCCATCAAATAATATTTTCGTGAATTCATACACTGATGGATAAGTTGATGATCCTGCTGTTGACCAGCCTATCAGCAGCATGCAATGTTTAAAATATCTGTATGCTGTAATAGAGCCGTACATATACTGTACATACAACAGAGTACTGTATAGAGATCTTTATACACTACAGTATTTCCTGTTTGATTGTATATATATATATATATATATATATAGACATATATATATACATTTTATAGGCAGCTTGATGGTGATGATGACTTATATTGATGTTTGTTTTTGTCTGCCACAATAGCTTTTGTGCCTTATTTGTCGATGTTTTGCAAACAGCTGGTGGTGTTCTTGCAGCTGCATCAAGACAAATTGTCGATGATGACGGCGGCGACGGCGGCGACGACACTCCCGCCATCATCTTCGGCGCCAAGGTCTTGGATCGCACCCAGTGCCCATGGATGGTGTCCTTGACTTGCGAAGACATCGGGTACTGCGGTGGGTCCCTGATTGCCACCAACTTGATCCTCACAGCTGCCCACTGCGTTGTCGTCGCATCCACAGAGTGAGAGTCTACAACTACTACACGCAAGAACTGATGAATAACATTGATTTAATGATTGCTTTGGTACGCTATGAATTCAGCACGATAACCTCGCTTTGCAATTATCGCATGGGAGGCCTGACGAAAGAAGACGGCGACGAGCCGGCCACAGAACAGACCGGCACCGTGTTGTCAGCCAATATTCGGAGGCACGAAAACTATTCGCCTCGGGCACCCGGAAACGACATTGGCCTGCTGAAACTCGACACTGCCGTTCAAATCCATGCATTTGTGGACGTCATCAAACTGGCAAGTCCAGTCTCTGACTACCAAGGCAGTGTTGCCACCATCCTCGGCTGGGGACGGACTGAAACTGGAGGTACAATACTTTATTCTGATATATACTCACGTGTACGTATAAAAAAAAAACCCCCCTCTTCTTCAAATTTGCATTTCAACAGAAGTCAACATATAGCGTTGACATATGATGCTAGCAGTTTCTTAATCGTCCCCCATAAAGGGAAACCTAATAATTCAAGTGCCTTTTCTTCTCTCTCTCTCTCTCTCTCTCTCTCTCTCTCTCTCTCTTCCCTTTTCTTTTCATTTATGGACATTCTTTCCGCAGGTTCTACTTCCGATCTCCTGTTTGCAAAAACGACCATCAACGTGGACTCATTTTGCACAACCGCGTGGAACTGCATCAGCGAAATCTTCACGCCTTCATTGCAGACCTGTTACGGTGGCATTTCCGTGAATGGCATTTGTTCTGTAAGTTGGCGTGCCGATCATCGACTTGGTTCTTCTATTCACCTGTCCGACGATGATGAGTTTTGATTACCTAAATCAAAACAGGTAACACTACCATGCATTTTGAAGCTGTCAATTACTGTAGTATGCTGGCAAATTAAAAAAAAAAACTCTGACGGACCAGCAAATTTCCAAACAATTTTTCTGCAAACTAGCAATAGTTTCAAAAAATGTTTGCAGACTCGAGAAAGTTTTGATTGAGAGACTTTACGGCGAAAGGTACACTCAAAATTTTTCTTTTTTTTTGTTGGCAGAAATTAAGTTTTGAACCTATCAAAAGAAGCAAATGTATATAGTGGAATGTCTTCGAAAAATTGAAAATGTGGGCTTGAAGAAGGGCTTCTCAGAATTAATCATCCATGTAGCTCATTACGTCAGGTGAAAATTTGTCTTGATTTCTATGAGGAGCAGAAGATCCTACTTATTTCTTTCTTCAGATGG